TAAACAAAAGCTATGGTACAGCCAGGAGTTATTATCAGTACATTATAGACCAAGAGGTAAAAAACATCCTTGAAAAAATCCTTGAAAAAAAAAATCCTTGAAAAACTATAAAACAGATAACATAATTAATCTGCATATCTGATAATGATTTTTTACTTTCTCCTGATTTATGGGACATTCTCAACACGCAGCACAGAACTACAAGGTTCTGAAATACATTTGTATCTGAGGCTCTGCTGGTGGCAGGCAAGGACAAAATGCACTCTCTAAATCCCACCCTTCTAAAGGGGCAGCTAGTCGAGACCAGCAATGTCCTTTCAGTAGCTGTTGTAAGAACAAGATCATCTCCACAGTTTCCTGGTATTAAGTCATCTACCTTTTGCAATTATTTTTTCTTCAAACTCTTTAACAGCCATTTTGTCTTTCCAGTTCAGAAAGTTTGCAAACTCCACATAGTTAATCAGACCATCTTTATCCAAATCACAATAGTCAAACAAGGAATCCAGGAGCTCATCATCTAGATTCAGATTAAGCTGAAAACAGGACTTTCGCAGGTCATCCTTGTCTATCATTCCATCACCGTTCTATTATAGTAAAATAAAACAGTTGTTATAACAGCCATTATAAAAAGGCTCCACCAAAAGGAACACATACACGTACGTGTTTCTATAAACAGAGAGAGAGAGAGCGCACCAGGCACACCATTTCAGAAGAGTAACATTGCTGAGTACAAAAAGAAACCCTGAGTAATTTCAAATTAAAAATCTAAATATAAAAGTGTCAATAAATAATTTTCAATTTAAGTAATACAGTGATTTGAGATTAAAAGAAAGTCAGTGTGACAGGGTATTGTGACAAGATAACAATCTAATCATAAATGTTGAGGCAAAGCCAAGATTTCTTTTGAAAGTAAGGCATCAATCATTCTGTATACATTACAATTAATGTTACATATGAAATGTCAATTATAATTTTTTTTCAGAGAGAAAAAAAGAAAAGATATGAAATTCTGATGCTTGGTGACTCAGTCAAAAAGTACGGCTTGGAAGAAAATATGAACATAATACCTTCAACTGTATTTCTTTTAAGAAGGAACACCAAATTTTGAAGAGCAAAAAATGCTAAGATTATTACTGCTCACAAATCCCTTGCTTGCTGTTAACTTGGATACTCCAAATACTGATTTGAAAGGCTCCAAATACTGTTGTTTAATTCCACAGCATATCACAGTATATTAAACATACAATAACTATGAAGTTACCTTGTCTTTATAGTCTTCATCTATATTTGCCTTGCTATGCTTGTGTTTCTTCATGTCTGTATCTCCATAGCACAGGAGCACTAATGTCACACACTCCTTTACATTTATTTTTTTTCAAAGCACTAACCTTATCGTAATGCCTGAATGCTTCTAGTAACATGTCAAAATTCTCATAGTTAGCTTTCTTCAAACTTTGCCGAACTGCAGTCAGGACAGCTCTCTCTTTGTCTTTACCACAGAGGAACTCACATGGAACCCGGCAGTGAAGAAGATCACCAACTCCTATAAAAATAAACACTTCCTCAATTAGTTGCACATATACAGAAAACAGACATTTTTAAAAATGACTTACAGTCTTAAGGAAAAGGAGAATTTCAGTTTTGAGATGTTGATTTTCAGCACTGCTGAGCATCTGATACAGCCATTTCATTAAAAGATCAAATGGTCCATATGATGATTTCTCTACTCACATGCAGTTAATATCAAAAATTTTGAAACATCTTAATATAGCTTCACAAATGTATCCGCTTCCAAAAGCTTCTGAGAGCAGTAAGAGGTACTTGATGTCCAGATAGTTGAGAACAAAAGAACATATATTATTAATCTATCACTTCCAGTCAGTCATATTTCAGGATACTTACAAGAACCAATGGAAAAGTCAATGTAATATTTCAGATAATTATATACCACTGATTTCTAGAAAGACAATGTACTATTTTTGTGTTATTCTTCCCATTTTCTACATATCCTAACTTTATTAGTATTTTTAAACACTGGCACACTGAGCTACAGTGTTCATCAAGTCCCCAGGACACCAAGGTCACTTTTTAGAGGGCAAGAAGTTCATTCAGAGTCCAATAACAAACAGGAGTAGCTCACCTTCTAACAGCAATGTACATGCATTATTTTCTACTTGTTAATAATGACTTTTTTTGTTCAGTTCCTTCTGCTGTTCCTTATAGGACAAGCATACCTACACATTTAAAATATTTAGCTTTGTTATGCTACATAGTAAAGCGTGTGTAAAAGCTTATGTAGAATTTGAACATGGTCTTGACTAGTTAAATAACTTTGAGCCACTTACATTTTTTGCTGCCTAACTATTCACTGTATTCCCTAGTCATTAAACATAATATTAAAATACCATAAACCCCAACATTGACTATTTGGGTTGACTAGTTTTCAAAATTTTGTCATAATGAAACAGTAATTTTTTATTTTCAATCTGTTTTCTGTCTCTCTGCTACTTTCAAAAACTTCTTATTATTCTTATTTATGGCTTGTTATTTTTAATCTTTTTATAGAAGTGCTGGAAAAATCATTGAGAAGACAGGCACATAATTGATTTAAATAGCCTTTTTAATTTTGTCAGATGTCAATATGAGTTTTCTGCCATTTCCCATCTTGTTTACATTCAGATACAGAGGCTTTAAAAGAACAAAACAAACAAATAAACCTCCCCATGAACATCCAAAAACTAAAATTTCTTTATTTCTGACATTCATTTTTTTTTCCACGAGCCATTTCAATTGTTCTCAAATTTTCCCTCCAAAAATTTAGTATTACTGTTAAATTTTTGTACCTTGCCTCTAAGATTTTAGGAAAATGATATACTACACAACCAACAGTAATTGCTTCAGCATAGTTTTGTCAACAAGGTAATATTTTATTCTGTCCCTGAACTTACCATATTCATCTGGACGGAGTAACATTCCAAATGTATGGCCTGGGAGAACATTCAAAGTTTCTGCTATACTGTCAATAAGCACATTTCTTTGTTAATTGTCAAATAGTTTTTTAATACCCAAAATAAACCCTATGCTATTAGTAAAAGTGATCATCTGTTATATAATTAGTGATGATACACATAGTTCACCTGAAATGTGTTTATCAGTACTTTGCTTCAAAGTTGCCATTCCAGAAAAGTATCCCTTTATAAACCTGTTTAGAACATTTGCTGTTCATAATATAACACAACCGAATGTAAACATTAACTTTTTGAATATTTATACTCATTAAAAGGAAAAACATTCTATGCTAAAATATTTTTTTTTCTAAGACAATGACAGAAATGGGTGAGAAAACTCCTTATAACATACTGGTCAAATAATAGGAATGTATAGGACAAACCAGATCTCCAACTGAAATAATGTTTCCAAATAGATTATTTTTGGCTAAAGTGGAAAAATTGAATCACATCTCACATGCTTTTTTATATGCAATTTTGTGTCTATCAAAACCAGCAACCAAGCCAGTATCCACATGGAAAACTTGGCCCAGTTCTATTTACCAGAAAATTAAGATGCTGTTGGTGACACTGAAGAACCATTTGTTTATTTCTTAATTTGAAAAAGATGCAATGTTCATTTTACCTCAACATTTAACAATTAAAACTATTACATGGATCAGAAATCTCCATCAAAATTGAAAAGAGAATCAATGCTTTGTTCTAAAATACAAAACAAACAAAAAAACACACACAGAGATGGAAGCACTAATCTAAAAACTACTATGTGTATTTTTCTTTTATCATTTTCATATTACACATAGGATGTGGATGGTGTAAAATTCGCTAAATAAAATTAGGTTAGCTTGTATCCGTCTTGTAATATTAGTGCTGGGTTTGAGCTTGCACTGCAACCTGTATTCCCTGACAGATCATACTGCCTCATATTGCTCACACTCCAGGTCTACTTCACAGTAAGCTAGGACACAGTGAAGGGGAGAGGAGAAACTGGCTCACACTTGTGTTCATTCCTTACAGCTACTATAGGCATAGTTCTCCAGAGTCACTCAAGGCTCTGATCCTGAGCTTAAAATTACATTTTCCTACCCAAGTAAATAATGCTGTTTGTGAGTCTTCAAATAAAATTTTGCAGAAATCTCAAGCATCTGCAAAGACAGTTTTTGTATACATTCAGGAACCCTAGATTTGTAGCACAGCTGGATCCTGACCACAGTACCTTAGGACTACTGTAGGTCTTCATAAGCATTGTTCTGTAAAATTAAAAAGCTGTTCCAGACCACCTGAGGTTTATGAAGCATTGTAATGATTCGACTAAGATTGATAAGTGCTGCTAGTTAATAACACAATTTAGTTCCATGTCCTTTTCCAAGGAAGTAATAAAGTGAGAATACAGGTGATGTAACAAAGATGACCAAAAATAGAATCATAGAATCGTTAAGGTTGGAAAAGACCCTTAAGATCATCGAGTCCAACCATTAACCTATCACTGCCAAGTCCATCACTATACCATTTCCTCAAGCACCACATCTATCCATTCTTTAAATACCTCCAGGGATGGAGACTCAACTACTTCCCTGGGCAGCCTGTTCCAACGCTTGACCACCCTTTCGGTGAAGAAGTTTTTCCTAATATCTAATCTAAATCTCCCCTGGCGCAGCTTGAGGCCGTTTCCTCTCGTCCTATTACTCGTTACTAGGGAGAAGAGACCGACCCCCACCTCGCTACAACCTCCTTTCAGGTAGTTGTAGAGAGCAATAAGGTCTCCCCTCAGCCTCCTCTTCTCCAGGCTGAACAACCCCAGTTCCCTCAGCCGCTCCTCGTACGACTTGTGCTCCAGACCCTTCACCAGTTCCGTTGCCCTTCTCGGGACACGCTCCAGCACCTCGATGTCCTTGTAGTGAGGGGCCCAAAACTGAACACAGTACTCGAGGTGCGGCCTCACCAATGCCGAGTACAGGGGCACTATCACCTCCCTGGTCCTGTTGGCCACACTATTCTTGATACAGGCCAGGATGCCATTGGCCCTCTTGGCCACCTGAGCACACTGCTGGCACTTAGCCTTGTTGAATCTCATGCAGTTGGCCCCAGCCCAACAATCCAGCCTGTCCAGGTCCCTCTGTAGGGCCTTCCTACCCTCCAGCAGATCGACACTTCCACCCAACTTGGTGTCGTCTGCAAACTTACTGAGAGTGCACTTGATCCCCTCATCCAGATCATCAATGAAGATGTTGAACAGGACCGGCCCCAGTACTGAGCCCTGGGGAACACCACTCGTGACCATTTACCACCACTCTCTGGGCTCGGCCGTCCAGCTAGTTTTTAACCCAGCACAGAGTGCACCCATCCAAGCCATGAGCAGCCAGCTTTTCCAGGAGAATGCTGTGGGAGACAGTGTCAAAGGCCTTACTGAAGTCCAAGTAGACAACATCCACAGCCTTCCCCTCATCCACTAGGCGGGTCACCTTGTCATAGAAGGAGACCAGGTTAGTGAAACAGGACCTCCCTTTCATAAACCCATGCTGGCTGAGCCTGATCCCCTGGTTGTCCCGCACTTGCTGCATAATGGGACTCAAGATGATTTGTTCCATGACCTTTCCTGGCACCGAGGTCAGGCTGACAGGCCTGTAGTTCCCCGGATCCTCCTTCCGACCCTTCTTTTAGAGGGGCATCAGAGTGTCAGAGTAAGTAAAATGGTCAAATCCCCAAACAATAGGTGAGACATTTCAGTTCTATCAAACCTTCCTAAGTGCAAAAGACAGGAAAAAAAAAAAAATGAAGTGTTACAGTGTGCTTGTAATTTGCTTGGTGCAAATCTGATCAATTCAGATATAGACCATTTTAAAAGTAAGACTTAATTTCACCACATAGACACAATACAGCCCTCACTAGTAACCTGCATACTATCAGTCTAACTAGGGCAAGCAGAAAGTCCCTTTCTGCAACTGAGTACTGCAGTGGAAGCATTGAGCACACAGCTATAATTTTTACCCAAGACAGAAAAAGATATTGGAGACTTGGCAAATGTGATCGAATTTTGTTCTTAGAAGGTATCTTTGCTTACTTACGGATCAAGGACTTTTCCAAGCTGAGGCTGAAATTTTTCCTTGAAATCATCACTTCGCTTTGATACAATTTTTGCTGCTCTCTTCCTACAAATTATGCAAATAGTTCTTACACGTATTTGTTTAACAATTTTCAACAGTTTTTCAATAATATTAAAAAATATTATTATATGTTAGAAGGAAATAGCAACTCCTCTGCAAGACAAACACAAATTTAGTAATTGAAAAATCTTGCTTTTAAAAACAAAGATGTCTTGTCGTAATGCTAAAGTCATGCCAAGTACTCTTATACTATGGTAGAACTGATTTAGATAAACTACTCTGAAAATTACTCCTTGCATTTTCTATTCAGTTCAATGTAGCTAAGGATGGGATTGTGAGATGTAAAATGATCTTCAAATATGAAGACTCTTTCTGAGAACTCACACCACTAATTAACTAGTTTAATCATTGCAACTTACGATTGCAGATCATAGAGCCAATTTAAGGATTTGGAAACATTTCGCCCATCTTTGAAGTGAGGGGTTTCTATTCCATAAACAGAAGACTTGCTGAAGTTTGGCGAGACATACTTCCTATTTATTGCTTCTCCTGTGGAAAAAGTAAGCATTACAACCTGTATAAAACACCTCAGGAAGAAAAATGTACTAAGTATCTTCATTCTTAAGACAAAACAATAAAGAAACAAAAGCAAACAACTAATTAACAATTCTATTGAATTAAAGATAACTAATTTGCATTCCCCATGTTTATTAAGTAGTTAGGAATAATCTCATTGTCAAAAGTGAAGATAAAAGGCAAAATAAAAAGCAAAAACTGCTTCAGTGATAAAACAGTTGGATGTCCTTTTATGTCTGACTAAAGACAAGGCAACAGAATTAATGAAAAAATACCTAAGTAGTCAGGGTCATGCAAACAAATCACTTTATAATTTCTGCACCTGAGCAGAGGCGTGTACTATTTAATTTACTATTTGTTAAAAAAATGCTAAAAGGAAAAAAATGTTTTTGAGGTGCTGCACTTTCAGATATACTCTTGCTACGCTGACTTCAATGGAAATTTTGCCACTGACTTCACTGTAAACAAGCTATTACCCTACTTGTTCATGAATCTATCAATCCAGTCTTGCCTATAAAACAAAGTTTCACATACAAGAATATCACATAAGTACTCTACATAAGTGAGCTGCAAGTTTCTTGTCACAGAAAAAAAATGCCATTCTGTTTCTTCAAGCTCTTTTCAATCACCTTTTGAAAAGAATGGCAATTACAACTTTCCAAAAATATTACTCACTGCATGTTTTCTAATAAGGGCTTCCTCTGGCTGTATGGCAGCATGGAATTTTTATGTTATTGTTCAAAACTGGGGCACATAGTTGACTTTCTTTTTTTTGCCGTTTGGCCTCTCCCTGATCTTGTGGATGGAAGTTACAAAGGAGACAGAAACAGATAATGAATAATTCCATCAAAAAACCTAATAAAGGTGGGGAAGAGGGGAAATAAAATTACAAGTTTGGCCAATTCATACCAATAATACTTGTAGTAGAATTTCTCAATGAGAGAACACAGTACTATAATTTCACTTCTATGTAACTGCCTCCATGTAAAATTTATATTATTATGACTGAAATATCTTTATTGCAGTTTCTTACATGTTTGGCCTACACCTACAAAACTGTTGGTACTAGCGCAATGGGCAATTTTAGGATAAGACTAATCTTACAGAGCAGCAATGTAAGTCTCTCGGCCTGTGGAAATGATGGAACTGGGAAAAATGGAAGTGGCTGCAAAAGTAATACAAGTACTGCATTTCAGAATGCTATTTGTCACTCTGTTCCTGTGCAGACCTATGAGATAAAGGATAACCATCCCTGAGCAGACCACTTCACACAAGTACAGACCCCAGAGGCTGAAGCAGTGCAGGCACCAGCCCACTGGAAGGGCAGAGACAGAGGCTGTGGGACAGACTCACAGGCAGGATGCTCTAGGCTGAGGAACCTGCATTCCAGAGAGCCAGTCAGCAGCCTGAAACTGCTTGTAACCAGAGCCTGATGCTGAGCTCCCTGTCAAAAAGTCTAGCTGCCCTGAAATTCTGTTTGGATCCTGATAAAAGAGAGGAACCAGAGGTGAAAATACTGAAATGGGTTGCATCCACAGTCTGTGGCTTTAAGCCTGAGATTGCTCTCAGTGGCACAAACAACACCAAACTCAATAAGCAACCAGGACATCTATGAGTTTCTAGTTTCCTGGAAATACTTTGCTTTTCAAATAGCACCCAACAGAAATCAGGCTTCCAACTCCTTCGTTAAGTTCTTATGCTGTCTAATACACCCACCACGAAGTGATCTACAGTTCTAGAAACACATCATGCTCTCTCGGTTGCATGTAAGTATTTTTTTCACATCATTACTTTTAAAAATAATTTATATTAATACAGTAGTAAAAAGTAATAAAATAGCATACAATATGTGTTGAAGACACAATTACCTTTATTTATATCAGAACGTCTATGCGGTTTCTTTTCAGCCTTTGAACTTACCCACAAAATAATCATTGTGTGACACAATGTACAGATCATGTCCTTCTCTGGATTCTTTATCCACTTCCTCAAAAGTTTTTGGTGGATTTATAAGCTCTCCAGCTGATACATCTTGAAAGTAAGGAATAAACATATGGTTGGGGAAGGCAAGGGGGATGGGTGTTTTGTTTTGTTGATTCTTAATTTTAAACGATATCTTGTTAGAGAAGATGCTAATACTGTGGAAGAATAATACTTCTTACCACGTTTCTAGTCAATCTATAGGAATCTTACAGCATAATGACATTGGACTAGGGAAAAAAAATCACAGAAACTGAGATGAACATAACTGTTGCAAGAGAGCTACATGGTCAACACGTATGTAATTTGCTCCCATCTATGGAGGAAAGATTCACAGGTCAAGGTAATATCTTTTATTAGACCTATTAGAACAGTTGGGAAAAGGAAGGTAAGTTGTCAGCTACCTAAACAGTTCTCCAGGGAAATCTACAAAGACAGATCTGGAACACAGCCAAAAGTCCTACTAGTTACCAAATGTTCACAGCTGCTTGTTTCTTCATCGTAACTGAAAAATACTAGTACATTTTTATACCTTTCAATAACTGTTATAATAATAACAACTTTTCTATTAAGCTGGAATTGTTGGAAGTACAGAATATGTGCTAGATACTAAATTGCAGATTATCTTGTACTTAGAAGAAATATGTTTTAACACTAAATTTTCCTACCTTGGATGACTTTTGTTCCAAATGTAGTATTAATTATATCCAAGCCCTTAGGTAACATAGAAGAATGATCATGTGATGTGCCCAAGGGTGCTTGACGATTACTAAAGTAGATTGCTTCTTTTTTGTCTTGTATTTTTTGTTGAAAATTAGTTTTAGGAAGTGGATTTATCAATGAAGCTGCCTAAAAACATCACAATCAACACAAGAGGCAGGAAAACCAGCAAATTTTAATCATTCACACATCAGTATGGCTACCCCCTCACACACACACGAACAAAAGTTGATCATAAGTGTTCTAATGAGATCTTATATGATTACACTGACATAATTTTATCTACCAAGTTGCAAAACAAAACTGGATTTTGAGGGAAGGCCACTAATAATCATTGCTATGCTAAATCTCCAGCTAAATAAAATACATATTGTGAGACAGAACTTTTTCTTTTTATGCAAGTTTTTCCACCTGTTAATTTATAAAATTTCAGACTGCGGCCTTTCTGTTCTTAGCATATATTAGAAACTATAGTCAAATTATACTATGACCAAAACTTACGTGTGAAAACGATTATAGTTATAACCCCTTTGGAATGAAGTCTCCTGGTCCTTATGATTAAAAACATCTATTGTCTAGCAGTTAAGACTATCTGTTCTCTAAACAGCTTCTCCCAATTCTGCCAATGCAGAATTTAACAATAATATTTAAAGATATACACTAATATTTCATCCTAAAATGACATACCAACAGAAATTACTTCAGTGGGGTTTTCAAAGCTTAGCACTAGGTTGGACAACATTTTTTTCTCAGTGTACACACTGGGTGTGCGTCAACAGAAGCTACTTGTAAAATTAGGTCAACTTCAAGGGGGGGAAAAAAAAAATCTCCAAAAAAAAAGTTTCAAATATGTCAAAACAGTGTATTTTGATCTTCCCAAATAATTTGATTTATCAGGCTACCCATCAAAGTAATGGGGATTCTAGAGAGGGTTTATTATTAGACTCTTGTTGAATGTTATATAAATAAATATGAAAAAACTAGTAGCAAATGCAATTGATTCAAACCCACGCTTAGAGAGCTCACTAAGATTCCAACACTCCCTCCAGTTAATATTTAATTAATAATGCAAAGTGAAACTGTCTTCAACAGACAGTACAGGCTAAACAAATCAATCCATTCAACATAAAACTTCTGAGGAAGGACACCAAGAACCTGATTTTTTTTCATTGTGGATATGCCTAATAAATGTCCTACTCAACATCCTCTATTTTTGGGACTTATGTGTTTCAACCTGAAGACTTATTTTTGAGACCTGAACTCCTCTTTGCCTCAACTTCTTAATTTGTAAAATGGAAAACTATTAATTTACAAGCCCAGCTGATGAAATGCATCGTAAAAGTGTATTTCACTAACACAACTGTTATTTTTAGAGATTTGAACAATAATTATGTGATAAAACCACCAATGATCTCTTCAGTTGTCTGATTACAGATTACAAAAATAATTTCTGAAGTAAAGAATACACACAAAATAGTCACACATATCGAAAACATCACTTTTTAGCTAACGAAATCAGTTTCAACCCAAAGGTAAGAAAGAATACACAACAATTACACTGAACTATAAGCATGTTCTCAGATAGCAGGTCTCTTGCTAAGAGCTCAACAGGTTTTACCTCTGTAATCAGTAAAGAAGAAAGCAGCAAAATTTTTGGGTAGAAGACTGTTCATTAACTGAAATGTTGAAATTAAATGAGTAATTCAGTAGTCATTGCAAAAGTTAAGTCACTGATAAGATAAAAGTCACTGAACTTCAAGTGTTTTCCTATTTCAATCATGCTAACTAAATCCTATGAATTGACCTCAGAATTCAGATAATCCACAACAGCGGTGAAATGCTGCAGTGTAAATCACTCAACTAGGTACCTTTATCCCTGACTATGAAGAAATCAGTTGCTCTTATTAAGGACATTCCTAAGCGGTCCATTCTTAAACAAAAGTAAACAAGTCACATTCTTACACTGAGTGAAGAACGCGACTCTATGCCATGTGTCAAGTGAGCTGCAATGTCAGGATCATCTGCTCTGCCGTAGAATATTCTTTCAGCACCGGGAGCTGGATTTGTTGTTTTTCGAAACTTTCTCACAGTAGCTGGAGTAATGGGCTATATATAAGGCAAAGCAAAAACAATTTTACACCAGATATTCACAAAATAGTAATAAAAAGAAAATGTATTGCAGCCATTTCAGTGTGATTCCACAGAGGTAAGAACAAAACGTTTTAGGGTTGTAACACATGCGTACGCTCCTGCAGATGCTGATATTCTGAGCATAAGGTCAACATAGCCCAGTCTAAATTTTATCAAACCAGCAACAGAAGTAACGAGAGAGTTGCTAAGATTCAACTATGTGGTTCCATCCTTAAGATGGATAACAGCTTCTTCATGTATACTTCATGAAAAGTAGATGTTACATTTATCAACTTCAGAAACCTTTAACCCGATTCAAAACAATTCCACCATCAATGAAGCAATTTCAGAAATTATTTTAACTACAGTTTTGGGGTTTTTTTAATTACCCATTTAAAGGGAGAGCTGCTATTTAAGGGATCCGTTTGTGTCTCAGTACCCTCTGACTCTTCTGGGGCATGGGGCCAGTGGCAAGCCCAATTCTGAGAGGCATCCTTGATAAAGAAGGAGGACCTCCATCAGAAGTAATAATAATTCCTAATAATAATCACTATAATTGTATTACTGAAGAAAAACTGTCTAAAACGATTCTATGTAGTCCCATCTAAGCAAGCATGGTGAATTTTGTAAAACATGCTGAGTGAAAAAGAACTGCCAGAAGTGTTTTACAATCCTACCAGCTATTCTCTATGATCCCATCTGACAAAAACTAACATTGAAAAAAAAGTAGTAGTTTCTAATGAGACAGGATGTAGAAAAAATGATGAAGGTTTCACTGATTTTCTTTTTTTTTTCCAGGGCCTGTCTCAAAGCACAATCACTAATGGGAAATTATCACAAAAGTTTGACAAGGAGTGTCTGAAAAACCAACTCACCCTGGGTAAAACCTCAGTGAGGCAACTCGCAGCCGTATCGCCAGTGGGAAGCAACTTTCCAGCCTAAACAATACAATCAAAAAATGAGGCATAACCCAACCCATTGTACTAATAAGCACCACTCGTCAAATTGGGACCTGACACCTTGGACGAGATGTTGTCTAATTGTCCCCGTTTTGATAAAAGGGGGGAAAAAAGGGGCCACACGCATTTTTGGGGGAAGAGAGGGGGGACGGCGTCGAGATGCGCCTGCTTGCCCCACACGCTGCCCCTCCCCCAGCCTCTTCCCTCAGCCCACGGCGAGACCCCGGCCCCAGAAAAGCGCAGAGAGCGAGCGAGCGAGCGAGCGGGCGGGCGGCTCCGCGGCAACGGGGAAACCCCTCGGCGAAGGCACTCACGGCCGACAGCTCGGGAAACCTGTCGGTGAACAGTCCCTCGTAGACGGGCCGCAGCTGCCCTGTCATGGCGGCACGGAGCCGCGGCGGCCGTTTATCCCGCTCCCTCGGTAACGGCGGCGGCCGGCGCCACCGCGCTCCCTGGAGGCAGCGATGGGAGCGCTCGTTTGGGGCGGGCAGCGCGGCCGTCCCTCACAGCCCTGCAGCCATCTCCCTCGACCCCAGCGCCCGCCGCCCTCCCGCCATCTCCCTCGCACCCAGCGTGCACCATCCTCCCACCATCTCCCTTGCACCCAGGATGCACCATCCTCCCACCATCTCCCTCGCACCCAGGATGCACCATCCTCCCGCCATCTCCCTCGCACCCAGCGCCCACTGCCCTCTTGCCGTCTCCCTCGTGCCCAGCGCCCACCGCCCTCCCGCCATCTCCCTCGCGCCCAGCACGCACCACCCTCCCGCCATCTCCCTTGCACCCAGCACACACCATCCTCCCGCCATCTCCCTCACACCCAGCAACTAGCGCACTAGTATGTTTCTTAGACCAATTGTTAAAGTCCTTGAAAACCAACCAGCTTTCAGACAGGTGGGTTGAGTCTTCTTTGGGTTGAAAGAAGGTCTTTCATGGTTAAAAGTCTGCTCAAACTTTAAATATTAATTGTCCTAATAAAAAATACAGCTCCTTTCACAAATGTTGTCATGTGTATAAACATATTAACAAAGTATTTTATACTGAGACTGTTCCTCTAGAGAAAACGGCAACTCCTATCTATGCAACAGCACAGAGGTGGGTGAGAGAAGCCTGTCAGCACTACCCATGTCAGGACACATGAATGCTCTTACTGTTTGTCGTAAATGAATCAACACATCGTATATCTCAACCACTGTATTCGCCTTTTAGAAACAGATGCGGATTATTTCAGAAAAGCGGCGTGGGTGAGACTGAACAAGTTTCGCCACTGTTTAAAAGCCCCTTCAGCTCTTACAAAGACTTTTACTCTCAGGTGACATTTAGTAAACTCTCCCCTTCTTCCCAGCAAAACATCTAAATTTAATCACATCCTGCTCCATTCTCTATAGTCCTATGATGGCAAAACGAATTTTAGACAAACATACAGACCTTAACCGTAATTAATTAACAAACATTACCAGCTGTTGCCATTTTATTCTCGGCTCTAACATTTGTTTGATAAGGATTTAAAATTAAGGAAGCTAAATTAAAACTGAATTCCCGGGACCCTTTCCTACAAATGGAAGGTGAGAGGCTCAGGCAGCGATGGCTCTCTGATGCCCAGGCCACCGGGCAGTAGGGGTGTCAGAGGCATCGACAGTATGTGTCAGTACTATGATCAGCTAGCTTCTAGCACATGTGAACGTAGCTTAATCTTCTCCAGGTAACATAGGTTACCTTCAGCTATTATCTAGCTGTGGCCATTGCCACTTTTCAAAAGTAGGTACGTTGTTCTGCTGTAGACATGCCTGTACAACGCTGCAAATATAGAACATCCATTACCACTTGGGACCTAAAGAAGCTCTTGTAAACTCTTAACACATTCAGTTCATTTATACTTCCTTCAATCATAATTGTTGTTACTTAAAGTTTAGAGTGCTCCTGCCAAATAAAGCAATAATTGTTGTTAGTTTAATAAATAAAACAAAACAATCGGTTACGTCTTGCCTTGTGATCTGTTCTTCTGACAGGTGCAATTTCTATCTAGTAAAGGCTAAACTGTGATTTAAACACAACTGCAGGTGTTAGAAATCAAGGATGAATTTAATCTGATTGAGAGGAGTAACTCGGTACGGATAAAGCTGTCAGAAGAGCGAAGTATTTATACAGAGGAAGAGCAAAGTATAGCATCACAAAAATTATATGGTAATGGTATGGCACAGGAAATTGGGACTTGAATTTTTATTCTTGTGTTTGTTGTATTTCTAGCTGGCTATCTACCTGTGCTCAAGGTATTATCATTTTTGTACTTTCCGATTTATTTTTTATATTGCTTTTTTCCCCAGCAGGTGGCCACACTTACTAATTGAAAGAATCCAGTCAGCCCTGATGGAATGGGTTGCGTCAAAGGCAGAAAAATAGGACCTGGCACTGTAAAAAGAATGCCTATTCCAGAAACAAGTAGAGCAGAAGTCCTCAGCCTTCTCTGTTTTGCCCCTCTGTTTTTTTCAGCAGAGATGCAGGTCCCTATGAATCAATTTGAAACCTACTAACAATATACATGCTTCTCTTAGCTATCTTTCCACACATCTCTTGGAAGCAGACCCTAAACCCCCTCAGACCAAAAACCTGCTCTTAGAAATGCTCTGATCTGCTAGCCTCTTTGTGGAAGAGGGAAATGCCTCACTGGCTGCTTTCCACGAGAGATGCATCCAGGTGCCAGAGAAAGCAGGAAAACATTTTTAACTGCAGTAGCTGCTTCTATCATAAATTACTATAGCAGGGTGGATACTGTTGAGAAAACTGGCTAGTAAAAAGGTAGAGAAGAATACGTCTCTCTCACCTATATAAAAAATACTCTACTATTATGCTGTGCTTGGATGTACGCTCATAACGTATATAGTAAAAAACATCTGTTTATCAGGATTCTGATGTTTTGCTCAGCAAATCCTGCAGTCTGGTTGAACATACTGAAACCAGCCAGGGAGTTATGGCAAATAAGCAGTGCGTTAGGGCAGGACTACCTGATTTAAAGGGCAACTCTCACAAATATTCTAAAAGGCAGTCTTTACTGTAAGCTTCAGCAAACTCACAGCTCAGAAAACTTGCGTACTTTCAAACACGTTTCTCTGGAGCTAGTCTGGCATTCTACGTCACTGGTGAACATAAAGTCTTTTTCACTTTGTTTAAGGTACACATTGGCCTTAAAAAAAGCATTTTTGTAAGTGATTAACTTTTACTTAGTAAAACAGAATGGTGAAATTATTATTCTGAGACCAATCTGCTAACAATGGAAAAGTACATGGAAAAGAAGAATTGAAGAAGAGGAAAAGAAAAAGAACAGTCTGGGTTTATTCCATGCATTTCAGTAATTTTTAAGGTATTGATGTGTCCGTACTAGGGAAGGGAAAAAAGACAAAGGAAAACACAAAAGCAGACACATACGAGATTTGTTGATTTCCCTCAACAAATATAGGCCATCGGCTATAATATTTTATAAGTAATGAGATATTTCTAAAGCAACACTAAAGAGTGGAGAGGATTTAAAAAAAAAAAAGGCTGTGACATGATTGATTATACCTTTCTTTCTGTTCTCAGCATATTTCTAAAGTAGCAGCAGCAGCAACAACAGAAGATAAATCTGCATTGGCAAGAGGATTGACAGGACAACTAACACTACAGTCATATATTTTATGAATGAACGGCATAATTGAGCCTCAGCTCTAGTGTAACACTGGCCGTAGGCTTTCCCTAACTTCATTTTTGTTTCAATTAAATACATGTGGTTGAACTAAAGCGTATTTTGAGAAGACGGCAACATCAAATCTTGATTCGGTGTTTCCAGTGATGGAATATCTAACAGGATTACAAAGGCTTCACAAAATACACCAGTGATACAGGAATCAATTACGTATGTCCAGCAACCTCTAGAGCAAGGTGTGTTATTTAATATTTGCATGTATTAAGTCAGATTGTTTGTATCCACCTGCTAAGCCATCAAGACTTGTTCTGCGTTAGCAACCTGTTAAGTTTTAGCACTCTCCCAATAATAAGCCTATCTCTCGGGCTTTATCAGCCGTTGTTCAATTTTTAAAAAGTTAGGTACGCTCCCCGTTGTAATTCAGATTTTCCCGTATAGTTCCTTCTTTCAACTCATTTGACTAATAGCTTTGGAAACCGGCTCGTTGGAAGCGTTACACCAGGTGCCCTCTGTCTGCAAGACACCCGGCTCCCACCCCTGCCACCTCAGAGGGCGGGCACGGAAGGTGTTGAGGGGTACGGAAGAGGTACCAGCCCCCCCCGCGTTGCCATGGTAACGGCTGGGGAGCGGGAAGGGTGAGGAGGTGACGAGGAAACAAAAGGGGGGGGGGAAGGTGGGCAAGAAATGAAGTCACGTGACGGGCGGGCAAACCGGAAGTGCATACCCGCGTGCGGACCGTGACGTAGCGGCGGTGGAAGTACGTGTGCGTGCGTGCGTGCGTGCGTGTGTGTTTTGGTCGGGGCAGAGGCGGCGGCGGAAGTCGGCGGCGGGCTGGGTGAGGCACGGCTGCGCCCCCGCCCCTCACCCCCACCCCTCTCCCGCGCTCCGCCGAGG